CTTCTAGTTGTTCATATGCGATTTTTTTTTTCTCTTCCAAGAAGGAATGGAGTTCCTTGAGCACAGAAAGGGTATTTTAAGCTACTGCCCATCCTTCAGTATCAAGCTGGTCACACAAAGTGGCTTAATAAGTACTCGCTGCTCTGGATCCTGTTAAATGGCCCATTTGGGGCCGAGAGATAGGAAAGTGTGGGTGCAGATGTCACCCCAAGCAGGGGAGAGGACACTGAATTCCTCTGCCCAGCCACGGTGTGAGATGCTCCCACACAAACGGCGTTCCAGAGAGCACAGTTTGAGGGGGCTCTCACTTGTCTGGCAAACAACCTACTTTGGGAGATTACGAGGGCTCCCAGGGCCCTTGGCTGGCCCATCCTAGGCCACTGCTCTGACCACTTTCAGATTGAACAGTGGACCTGAAAACAAAGTCCATCCATTTTGCTGCAGGCCCAGCCCTGACCCCAGGGTGCATGAGGGAGCCAGGCCAATTTCTGCAGATTTTCTAGTGCGCTCTCATTGCCGAGGACTATTTTCCCTCCTTAACTGTCAGTAGACAACCCTTGCTAATAACCAGAAAGAGGAGGTGAGCAAATTTTTATTTTAGCCAGCAGATGACTTTGGGGTGAATAAAACGAGGTTGCCTGCCCTTTGTACCCCCAGAGAAAAGCTAATCTGCTGGGATGGTTGGTTTTGGAGATGCTTTAGGAGCCTGGCAGAATCACTCAGATTGCAGCCCCCCCAAACCGCCCCCCCCCGGGGCAGAAATGCTGAAGGAATGGGCTACCAGCTTCACCTGATCTAAAATCCTCCTCTCTGCTCAAACAATGCCACTGGGTTAAAGACCCCCATCCTCCCAGCTACCGTCTTACCCTGAGAGCGGGGTGCTCTGGGGAGGGGTGGTGACTGAGGGAGCCCCAGCTGGGAGTCAGCAAACAGGCCCAAGTCCCTAAGGTCCAGATTTGAAATGTTAAATGTCCCCTTCCTCCCCAAGCCAGCCCCACTGGGGGCAGTCAGTGAGCCGGACCGATCTGGTCTGGAGGAGAAGGGAGAGGTTTCTGTGGAAGTGCCCCGCTCCGCCCAAGCTGAGGGGAGGGGCTGGGACACCTTCAGGGCGCCTCAGTGTGGCTCCTGTTCCCACTTTTAGGACATAGGCCTTGAAGAGGAAATGGGGGTCTCTCTGCTCTGGAGAAGAAACCTGAAGTGACTGGGGAACTATCTGAAAGACGTGGGGAGGGAAGGATTGGTTAGAAATACAGAAAATAGGTTTCCACCCTCATTTCCCATCGAAGGAAGGGGAGACCTAAGGAGCTCCCGGACACTGACTCGGGCTAGTGGACTTAGGGGACGCAACCGTCTGGCCGCTCTCCCAGGGATGGCTCCTGGAGCCTGCCTTACTGGTGAGCAGGAGCCCCAGGAGAGGGGAGCTTAGATGCGGGCTGGGGTGCGCACAGGGGTGCCGCTGCCCGCCCCATGGCGACAGCACGGAGGAGTCCTATGGACCTGGCTCTTGGCTCCCTCCATCTCCCACCTCACGGGACGCGCCTTGCGCGCCAGGCCACTGACCCTCAGGGCAAACGAGCGCCCACGCCCAGCGAGAGGCAGCCGAGCAGGGGCCGCGGGGACCCCGGAGCCCACCCGGGGCCTCTGCCCCGCCCCCCTCTGCCCGCGGCGGGGTTGGGTCCGCTCCCCCACCTGTACCTCTGCGCGCGGGCCCGGGTTGGGGCTGCCGCGGTGGTGGGACTGGGGGTGGGCTGGGGAAGGGGGCGAGCTGCGGGCCTGGGGCCTACAGCAGCCCCCGCACAGTGGGAGGGCGCCGGCCCCAGCAGCAGCCCCGTAAATCTTCCCGGGAGGAATTAATTTGTCCTTGTATTAAGGAATGGTGGATACCTCCCCGTTTAAGCTGAGCTCTCGAGACAGCTGTTGGGTGCTTGTGGGGAAGCGAACGTCGTCGAGGAAAAGGTCCACCGCGCGGTCCCCAAAGCACAGGTGCGGCCCGCGGTGAGGGCCGGTAGACTGCTCCGTCGCAGAGGTCGAGGGGGCCTGGAGACCGAAGCCTGGGCGGGCGAGGGCCAATTTTTTGAAAAATGATTTAAAGTCTTGTAAGCCAGC